GTTTCATACATAACAGACTTGCGTAAAGCTTGTGGTTAAGCTTTATCAGACACTGAGTCACTTCAGGTGGAAAGCAAACGCTTGAACGAGAAGGGTTGTGACATTTGCTACTCAATTTCTGGAATGTTAAAAAGCATTTGATTAGTTGTGAAACAAGTTTTAATCCTGACGGAACTTACACCTTGACACTACTCTTACACGCAACTTTCCAGGAATTGGTTAACCGTCTACTCCACCTGTTTCTCTCAAAACATCATGATGACCTATTATGCTCGAGGTCGACACACGCATTCACCCCCATTTTGGGTCATGGAGAAGATGGCAGAACCGTGGTGTCAACCGCGTCTGCACGAGTCACGATTGAACCTTGACGCTAAAAGAAGATACTGCTTAGGAATGCCCAACATTTATTGAGCAACGAAATCGGCGCATAAATGAGCGCCTGACAACAGCAAATTTCCATCGCCCTATCTGTTTGGAAATGCAAGTCCAGTGACATCTCAAGGCATTGCAGGTGCACCAATTTATGTTTGAAAGCAAAACACCGAACATATGCCATCTGTTTATGAAGCTGATAAAAAGCTGCACGTTAAACATTTGCGGACCCAAGGATCAGGGCTTCCAGTTACCTGTGAATAGAAAAATAGGAAACTTTTCGCTAGTTGAAGTGGTGCAATGAGGGGTCAAACGGAAATAAATTTGCTAGAGCTGTTTCAGCCCCTCAAGGATCAAGCGATTGCCTTCCATAAAGCGATAATAATGCCTCAGGTCAATGAAAATCCAAGAACATAAGTAATTCGCCAAACAGTGAAGAAAACCTTCGTCTCAGAACATGTTCGTGTTACGGGTACTTGGAATATTTCATCGTCTCACTGCATAAGTTATTCAATGCCCATTTCTTGCATCCAGCATATCCTTCATTGTTGAGAGGCACCCTCACTGGTTTCCAACAGTAGCAATAACTTAATATTACCAATAGTGGCAACAGTATTCGTATTATAAGGAGCGACAGTAGCAGTAGCATTAGGGGCGAGGGAAGAAGCCGGACAAATTCACGCGTGGTTTTGTGTACAGAAGGGAGGGTTAGTGACAACGGCCTCTTCCAAACCTTGTATGTCTTCAGCGCCAGGCAGCGTAAGTGTTAAGGAGATGGTATGAAGGATTGGCTGGTAAGTGGATGGGTGAAGCGCTGAGAAGCGATTCAAGACTGCCCATTGAAGCCATATATAGTTGAGGGAGGATCTCCGGCGCTACCTCCGCTGCCACCACCAACACCGCCACCACCGATGACACCACCGATGCGGGCAGAAAATTGGTCCGAGGAATCACCTGAATGTGTCGAGGAGGCCACTTCGTGACCCATTGGTGCCGCTTGGCTTGCTAAAAGTCGAAGCGTCACAAATAAAAAAAAATGGGTTCAACTTCTCTAGAGTGGTAGTGATCTGTACAGAAGTTCTGATAAATCCTTGCTTACTAATTTTCAAAAGAAAAAGTGCTTCTCCACAATTTTTGCGTCTTGTAAATACGTATAAAAGAGAGTTAAAGCGTACAGCATCGAAGTTGCACATTCACCCAATCCTGCCACCTTTTGTGGGGAGAAACTAGTAAGCAGAAAACAGTTCCATAATTCCACTTGCCTTCCCACTCTTCCACAATTTCGACCAATTTTTTC